GAAATATTCAGTTGAAGGAATTCATACCTCATCCAGGTTGACCATGACCCGGACAGCATTGAAGGTATTAATCCCTGGGATCGCCTCCTTCTCCTCTCTAGAGACAGCCTTCAGCATGGCCCGGGCGTACTGCTATACATCCGGCCAGTGAGGCGAGAGATCCGCACCAGAAAGAGATGGTGAGAAAGCAACATACTTCCCTCCTACGGACTGTCGGCTGCCAGAAGAGTCTTCTGGCTGGAGCTGGGAGTGCGACTTGACCCGCATGGGCTTGCCAAGCAAAGAGGGGTTGAAGGGATCTATTGTACATTGTGATATAGGGTGAGGGTCATGACTGCCCTTAGTCGGTACTGAGGCGCCGGATGCCCTAGGCGGCGTCGCCCCCTTAGATGCCTCTGGGACATCTGGCTGCCTGTAGGAAAGATCGAACCCCAGGCCTGTGTTTTTTATAGTTTTCCCCCCAACCGTCAGCCGACTGGGAACTGTCTAGGAGGAGGTCTTCCTCGCCTTATTTTGAGTAGCCGGCGCCTCCCCCAATCGGGGTCTGATTAGCTTTGTAATGGAGCGGGGCGCCTTGCCCCCATCCTAAAATAACAAACACACAAAAAGTCAGCCGGCAAGAAGTCAAGTGGAAGTTAAACAAGAGAAGGGAGGAAAGTAGGAGTATACCTTATCTTTTGCCGCTTGGGCGGCTAGTTTCTTTTCCGCATTTTCTTTGCGGATATCTTTTGCAGACTTAGCCGGCGTTTTGTCTGCTGGCAACATGGCTAAGGCTCGCACTGCAAAAAACAACCCATCCGGTTAGAAGAAAGTTAAGAAAGCATAAAGTATGTAAAAACGGCAAAACAGGATCAAGCAATAGCGCGACCTACGTTTCTTAAACTGAGTAATAAGCTTACAGGCGGATAAGAACGCCTTATCACGAAGGAATTCGTGCTTTGGTACCCAATTCTTGGGCACACTTATTAGTTCTCCATTAGAGAGGGCGGTTGTGGTTAATTCAAAAAAACCCCGCCTCAATTATTCTCTCGTAGTCCCCATCCGGGATTCGAGGTTTTTTACATTTGTGGCCCAGAAGGTCTGGCTTCCGTTTGTATGTCCTCTACTCCCGGTTTTCCTCCTTGGAGGGAGCAGAAACCAGGTAGAACCGGTTCTTCCAGTCTGATCACTTGGACGGTTTGTCTAGGGTCATCAGGTACTGGGGATAGGTGGTCAGTGTATACCAGGCTCTCCACCCGCCTGGGCTTCTACTTAAATAGTGCATATGGGAAAAGGCCTCCCAGTCGGGGTTGATGTTCTGCATCTCGCAGGCGGAGATATAACCCAAGATGTTAACCTAGGAATTAAGGGTTAACTGCCAAATGCCCAGACCATACCCTCAAAGGATGACCTTGATGGTGTTGTGTAAAGGGAAGCGGAGACCGGCTAGAAATGTTGCCTCGTAGCAGCCGAAGTATCCGTTTGCATTCAGCTGATTATCTTCCCAAACTATGGTGCCCATCTCAGGCGGCAAGATGATTTTCCAATCTGCTCCAAGAGGACGCATTTTGACGAAGTCCCCTAAGTTTCTGGCCATGCTGGCCCTATCTTTGGCAGAGACGACGATAAGGAAGGGATCGCCCTTATTATTCCATGTGGGCCTCTCCTCCTCCTCGCTATCTACATCCGGCGTAAGGAGGTTGCTGCTGCTGCTGCTTTGCTCTGAGCCGGACGAAGAGGCGGTCTCTCCATTGCTTTTGCCTTCTGAGGGGTTTTCCTTCTCAACCCTAGATGGAGAGGCGGCATCTTCACCGCCTTCCTTATCAAACCCCAGTATCCCATCGCTGGGGGTGCTGGGGGTACCATGCGGGGATCCCCTTGTCATCTCAGCCTGATTAGAGTCAGGCGGCAATCCTTCAGAGGTTTCTCCTCTATATCCTGGATCAACGGTTGTCTTCCTAGTTCGAGCCATTGCGCCCTGCACATAGACAGAGACAGTCGGTGTTGGAGATGAACAAGGAGAGTCCCAGTACCCATAGGCGGCACCCCCAGTCCTAGACTCAGCCGTACCAGGAGACCGGCTGACCTTTAAATCGTGGTGTGTCGTGTGTGTGTTGGGTGAACCCATTATTCTAACAATATATATAGCCAGGAAAATTTAAAAAAGAAGCAAAGAACAGAGGCGTTACCTTGAAGTTGGAAGAAGAGGATGGTGAAAGAAGTTGGTAATTGTTGACCAAAGATACCCCAGACGGTATCACTTTGAACAGACTGCAAGTTGGCAAAAGAAAGCAAGATTAATTACCAATGTTGCTCAAAGATACCACAGGCGGAAGAAACCGGTTGTGGCAGTACTGATTGTACAGAATAAGTGGTCTGGAGTTCTTACGAAAAGTTTCCCAAAGACCCCCCAGGCGGTGCAATACCGGCTGAGGATTATTATAAGCAACTTATGAAGAAAATTGTACGGAACTACCACAGGCTGACTCAAAAATACCCCAGACGGTATGAGACCGGCTGAGGTGTCAGTAAAGCAGTTTAGAAAGAAATTGCTCACATATACCCCAGACGGTGTGAGACCGGCTAAGGTGCAGCAAAACAATTCAAAAGAAAATTTTTATTGAAGATACCCCAGACGGCATAAACCGGCTATGGGTCTATTGAATGCAATTCACCATGAAGTTAATTGAAGATACCCCAGACGGCATAAACTGGCTGAGGGCCTATTTAATGCAATTCACAATGAGATTGCTTGAAGATACCCTAGACGGTATAAACCGACTGAGGGTCTATTGGCTGTAATTCACAATGAAAATGCTTGAAGATACCCCTGACGGCATAAACCGGCTGAGGGTCTATTGGATGCAATTCATCATGAAATTGCTTAGAGAAGCTCCAGACGGCATAAGACCGGCTGCAGTTTTATCAGAAATCCAGATGAAGAAACTGACAAGGTCAGAATGATACCTTAGTGAGGCGGGCAAAAGACACCACTCAACCGGTACCGGATGTATTGGAATTGAAGGTTGTTTGCAAGAAAGAGCAGTCGGGATCAGAAACTCTCTCTCAAGGAATTTTCTCTCTAAATATTGGCAAAGTGAGGAGTGAGAGGAGGGAGGTTCCTATTTATAGGAAATCTCATAAGGCGAACCGTCACCTTCCCTCCCCTCCAACAGTTTCAAAAATTCAAAAAAATGGAGGGAAGGAGGCGAACCGTTGCCTTCCTGCATGGTGACAAGTATCACAGGTGCCACATGACAAGCCACGTCACACCTGTGAGGGGGAAAATTACCCCTGCCACGTGGCACAATGAGGGACCGACACGTGTCACCCTCATATAGGCCCAGAGGGATCCAATCAGAGGATGCCACGTGGCATTGTACCCCCAATGGGGGAGCAGATTCTCATTTGCTATAAATAGAGGAAGCATCCTCTTTTATTGGATATACACAATGACCAACACGAATCTCGAGCAATATTAATAGCGGAATCTCTCTAAATCAGTGAGAAATACCTACTTACTTTCCGCACATTCACTTATCCGGAATCATACTAACTTGATCGTCGGAGGCAAAACTCCACCTAACCAGAGTTTCGTGGTTTTGCAGGTACATACGTCAGGCGCGCATACTCAGTATTGTAACTCTCCCGAGGGACTCCAAAAACACCCGAAACAACTTTATTTATCGAAATTGAGATTTAAATTAGAAATTAGGTTTAATAGGTCAAAATGCACATAAAATAATGGTTCGAAAATACGGGGTGTTACAGCTCCCTCTCCATTTTCTACAAATAAACAGGTCAAAACAAAAATCAAACAAAAACCCTCAAAATATTGAAAAAATACAAACCAAAAAAAATCATAATTTACACGAAAACAACAAACAATAAAAATAGACAAAAAAATAAAAAAAAAATTATAAAAAGGGAGAGAGACCTGGCGTTCCTCTTTGGCACGCTCCTCTACGCTAAGAACGCGGCCATCGCTGGAGAAGCGATCGATAAGAGAAGAGCTACAAGAAGTGATGCGTTGAAGTGATGAGCGAGAAACAACAGTTGCTGCGGATCTCATTGCCATGATCGATGGTAGATTTTCAGACTATTTTTTTTTAAGGCTTCGAGCGAGAGCGACGACGACGACTAAAAAAGTAAAACGGCTTCGAAAACCTACCTGAATCTTTTTTTGTTGGACTTACCCCATGGTTTTATGGTGTTTGTGGATATATGACACGGGTTATTCTAGATTTTTACCCTATAGTGCAAGTAATGGACACGAGTCGTTGTAGGTCATTCCGATTTTAGAAGATTTCGGGATCGACTCTCACCCCTGCCCTTATGGCTCTCTAAACACAAAAAAAATATGGGCACGAGTCATATGACTCATGCCTACATAGCTAAATACTTTTCTGTTTTTTTTTAATACAACACTTTAACTTTTACATTATTTTTATATTCTAGTTTGACTAGTTTTGATGATTTTATTATTAAGGAAAAATGTAGTCAAGTAGGATCTTGTTAAATTTATCTCGAATTGTACTTTTTTAAAATCAAATTGTTATAATTTTTACAAATTAGTAATAAAATATATTAATAATTAAAATAATGCACTATTAATCGTTTAATAAGAAGTGTAGTATTTAAAAAAAAAATAGAAAAGGTATATAGAAGGGACTAAACTTTTCAGAAAAAATGTGGTAAACAATGAGCAAATAAGGGATTGTTAGACCCTTTTTTTTTATTGACTCTAAGGGCACAAGTCTAACCTACAATAGATTCTAGGTTCAGTAAGGCTTAATTTAATGGGCTACGAAGTCAAACAAAGCCAAAATAAGTCAATCAACCCAAAGAAAGAAGGAAGCCAGGCAATATAATCAAGCTAGAAGTGATCATGGGCCGGACTTTACCCAAAAACAATAGTAGACTGAGAAGCCTGAAACTCAAACTGTCTACAGGTTCTCGAACTAGCTTTGTTCGGATGTAGTTGTCATATTATTAGTTTAATTACACCATCAACATGACAATTTAATTACTAAGAGCAAATTCTTTTCACAGCAATCAGTCCAATCACAGGGACTCACAGCATTGTAGTGCCATAACCAAACAAAGATGACAACTTGCCTGAACTCATCAAACAAGATTGTACAGTACATAACAGTCTCAGGTTCTCAACTAAGTAAGATTGCACATAACAGAATCTCAAACCAGGGACAACAACTGATACAACAAGTTCATGAACGATATTGTACCCAATGTCTAGGCAAGCTATACAGGACATACAGATTCACTTGAGTACAATATACATTTATTTCCCAGGAAGCGATCAAAGAAACTGCAAGACTCCGAATCTGCTTTAGTTTTAGTGAGAATCTCCCTCAGTTTTCTGCAAGAAAATGAGAATAATAAGTACAATAATATAAACATTGTGGTTGAACAAGCAAAGGATATAAAAGACAGATGCTCCATTGAAAACTAAAGAAGATTATTGTGGCAATATCAGCACATATCTTTCATCAAGGATGCACAGCATTTACATTTTTCCTTTTTTTTTTGGGAAATCAAATTATCTGTCCTTTTAATACCCTTCTCTAGCATGCAACCTTTTAACTATCTACAAGACTATAATAGAAGAAGTCACTAAGAAAAAGAGTATGAGATGGGGAATATCTATTTTAATTTAATACGAGTATCAATTACAGTATTATAGAGCCTTGTAAGTTTTCATAGGTAGTTTGTTTGTATACAATTTCCTCGGAAGAACTCTTCCGTCCATACTTCCAAGCCTAGATATAATAAGACAAATTTCCAACAGCTCACACTTTTCACTGGGAACCAAACAACCTCAAGTTTCCTCGGTTCTTCATATTTTAACTTCCCAATAGCAGATAAGCACCAATTCTCTTTGACAAGCATCCTGGTCCCAATGCTTTTGGGGGAAGAACAGAGGCTTTGGTTGAGGAAAAGATCATTATTCAAATTTTGAGATCCGTTACCATAGATAAAAAGCAAATCAGAACTTATATGGCTACTTCACTTTTGTATCAATCACATAGGGTCAGTTACAAGAATAGGCCAATATTTGCACTTTTTGGCTTTTGCTATACTAGAATAGGCCAGAATCTCAGGTTTCATCATTCATGTAATGTTAACGATGCCAAAGAGAGCTGTTCAAATCTTATAATCCATATATTTGATAATAATCTCAACTTTCAACAAAACATTTTTTTTAACCTCAATATCCCTCCCCCTCCTCACAATTGCAACAAAAAGAAAAAAATAAGGCCCCAAAAATAAACAATATAAAAAAATGAAAGCGAAATCATTTGTGTTTTTGAACAGGCATATTGTTGCCAAAATAGTAGAAACCAGATATATGTTATGTAACACCACAATTGTTTCTTCCTTAAGTTTACTATTTTTAACAGACTACGCATATAAAAACATGTAACAAAGATGCAGAAAGCAACAAAGATTTAACTTCACAAGTCAAGTTGTTTCTTCCTTACGTTTATTATTTCTAACAGACTACGCATATAAAAACATGTAAGACAGATGCAGAAAGCAACAAAGATTTAACTTCACAAGCCATGTCCACCACAAATGACACAATCATAAACTTAAAGATGTACCCCTACGGCCCCACCTATATAACTCCGACTCTTTATTTCAATTCAAATACTCCTATTGAATACTCCAGAAACAATACAAGTATGACACTTAGACATTCCATTATAGACCCATACCATTCAAAGTTTCTCAAATAATGCCTCGACAAAACTTGAGTAAAGTATTTATGTTTGACACACTTCATAGTTCTTACCGAAATACCGAGTGAGAGTACATAATCCACCAACAACAAATATTAGCAAATTTATTTATTGGGACTTATGCAGAGAAGTATATCATGATGATAGAAATAAACTTAAGGTGGGGGTAAATTTACGAATATCATGATCGAAATTACAAAACATAAACTTCGTTCAAAAATTGGAGTAAATCAATATCAATCAATACCAAAACTAAACTATATACTTGGTCGGTCTAACTTAAGTCGTCACATTACTGGTTCAACACGACAACTAAATTGAATAGAACAACGATATCAGGTAAATACCTTCTCAGCACCCTCCTTTTCTTTCTCAGCCTTCTCTTTCTCTTGCTTCTTTTTCAGTTTCTCCAACCTCTCCCTCTCCATTTTCTACAAATAAACAGGTCAAAACAAAAATCAAACACAAACCCTCAAAATAGTGAAAAAATCCAAACAAGAAAACAGTAAACAATAAAATAGACAAAAAAAAAAAAAGTAGAGACCTGGATGTAGACGGTCTCTTTAGCACGCTCCTCTTCGCTGAGAACGCGGCCATCGCTGGAGAAGCGAGCGAAAAGGGAAGACCTACGAGCAGCTCCGTCCATGATGCGATGAAGTGATGAGCGAGAAGCACCGGTTGCTGCGGATCTCATTGCCATGATCGATGCTAGATTTTCACTCTTTTTCTCAAGGTTTCTAGCGACGACGACGATGACTAAAACGGCTATTAGGCTTCTTCGAGGACCTACCTGATTTTTTTTGTTGGGCCTACTCTATGGTCTTATGGTGTTTGTGGATATATGACACGGGTCATTTTAGATTTTTACTGTATAGTGTTAGTAATGGGCACGGGTCGTGCCTACAGAGTTAAATACTTTATCCGTTTTTAAAATGCAATATTTTAAATTTTACATTATTTTATATTTTATTTTTTGACAAGAGGACCTACAAAAACAAAAGCATCAATAAAAAGAAAACTAGAAAGACCAAAACAGAAATCTACGACGACGAGCTTCCGCAACCAACCAATGAGTTGGAGACCCAATTCCGAGGAACCTTCCTGATATGACAAGCTGAAAAAGGTAAAAGAGCAGTACGAATATCCCGCAAAAGCGTAGCGCACGAGATATCATCCGAGCTAGTGCGGCAGAAAAGGCAAACAAGAGTAGTGATGTCTGTGTAAATAAGAAGACGGAGGTACCCCCGACGACTTACAGCCTGAAGAGCCAATAAACACGCCTGATGTTCCGCTTGAAGAGAAGACGAAGACCGACAAGCTCTTGAACCACCCCTTAAAACCTTTGAGGACTTAATGCCCCGGAAAATCCAGCCTATCCATGCAGTGTTATCTTCAGAATTAGTAGTGCCACACAAGCACCTAGAGACAGGAACCAAGTAAGAAAATTGAGGTTGATGCGGAACAAAATGTCGGTCAACAAATACCCCAGCTTTCTCGCAACGCATCACCCAATCCTCCGAAATGTGGAAAATCGAAGCTGGAGAGTGAAGAGCCTGAGTGAAAGTGATTTGATTTCGAGCCAACCAAATAGCCCAAAGAATGCAAACCAAAGAAGTTAAACCTTTCCAATTCTTAGACCTTCTAAAACCCAAAATCAACTCCATAAACCAAACCTCAAACGGCGGAAAACCCAAAGTACTACCAACCGAGCCTAAGGGTCGAGAAACCAAGAAGGTACTAACGAAAGCACAGTCCCGAAAAGATGAGACGGCGTTTCTAGTTCCTTATGACAGAACACAAATGTTGGATTAATAGGTAAACCACGCTGATAGAGACAATCCGAAAGTGGCAAAGCATTGCAAATCATCTTCTAACAAAAAACCTTCAGCTTCGGAAGAAGTGGTAAACCCTAGAAAAACTTCCACCATGAATCAAAAACTTGCCCATTGATACTCGAAGCCGCTACTTGACGGGTTAACATAGCGTAGGCAGACTTGGTTGAAAACTAGCCATCCTGAGTAAACTCTCAGTACATAAAGTCATCCATCAGCTTTAGAGGGCGTTCTGCTGAAAGAATCCGGAATGTCGTCTTGTTATCAAAGAACCGGTGAACCAATGTTATATTTTAATTAGTTTGACTAGTTTTGATGATTTTATTATTAAAGAAAAATTTAGTCTGGTAGTTATGTTAAATTCATCTCGATTTATATTTTATTAATATCAATTATATTTTTACATATTAGTATTAGAATATATTTCCTCCGTTCTTTTTAGTTACAACACTTTTATTTTCACGGTCTTATAGGCAATTTTTGAAGATGAGAGAGATATAGAGAAAAATAAGAGGGGCCCATGTGGGTAGGAGAGAGATAAAGAGAAAGAAATGTCAAAAATAGAAAGTGTTGCAACTAATTAACAATTTCCAAAATAGAAAAGTGTTGCAACTAAAAAGAAACGGAAGAAGTATATTAATAATTAAAATAATGCACTATTAAACGTGTAATGAGAAGTGTAGCATTTGAAAGAAAATAGAAGTGGTATATAGAAGGAACAAAAATTTAGGGAAAGTGGTAAAAAATGAGCAAATAAGGGATTGTTATACCCTTTTTTTATTGACTTTAAGGGTACAAACTTAACCTACAATAGATTCTAGGTTCAGTAATGCTTAATTCAATGGGCTACGAAGTCAAACAAAGTCCAATAATAAGTCAATCAACCCAGAGAAAGAAGGAAGCTATATTCGTCCGTTTTTTTTTTTTCCAATTATATGAACATGAAGGTAACCTCTCCTTCAATTTGTCTAATTGTAGACCTGACTTTATCCTTTAATTAATGAGTTCATTTGCATTTTTTTTCATATGTTTATCTACTGATTTCTTTAAGCAATCTAAATAGTTTAATTTCCTTATAAAAAACTTCCTTATTATTTGTTTTTGTTACGTTAGCAAGGTAATTAGTCTTTTGAAACCGGTAACTTGAGAGGCAGCCCCCTAATACTCTAGAATAAGATAGAGTATTTAACTTGTTGGCAAAAAACAATATTTTCTTCAACACCTTCAAAAAGGTTAGAGGTTCAATCTCGCTAGAGGCATTTTAAGGCTGGAGTTCTCTTAGGCCCTGTTCTTTTGGACTGAAATTTGCTAACTAAAATTCACTGCGCTGAACTGAACCGAAATAAATTTGTTGAACTAAACTGAAATTAAATATTAAATGTCACAATAATAACAATAATTGGCGATTGGCAGTGGCGTCTTGCCACCTTACCTTTTGCTTTTATAGGGCTTGGTGTTTATTCCGCGAGTGATGTTTGGCATTATGCTTTTCTCGCTTCTCGTTTGCTGGCTTACAGACTCATCTTCTACTATTTCGGGGTTTTTGGAGTCCCTCGGGAGAGTTACAATTCCAATAATGCGCGTCGACCATCTATACCTGCAAAACCAAGGAAACTCCAGTTGGGTGGAGTTCCGCCTCCGACTATCAAGTTAGAACGTTTCCGGATGTATTAAGGTGCGGAATGTAAAGGTTTTTCTCTCTGATTCAGAGAGAATTCTGCAATTAATATTGCCCGGTTTTTGTGTTTGTATTTATCAATGTCTAATAAATGAGGATTTTCCTCTATTTATAGTGGAAGGGGATCAGTTCCCCTTTTAGGGTTAAGGTGCCACGTGTCAGTAGAGGATTGGATCCCTTTGGGCCTCTCTCAGGCTGACACGTGTCAGCATACCATTGGGCCACGTGGACAGGGTATTTTTACCCCAAATATTTTCCCCTCACAGGTGTGACGTGGCTTGCCATGTGGCACCTGTGACAGGTGTCACATTCTGGGAAGGTGACGGTTCGTCTCCTTCCCTCTTTTTTTTTTTTTGAATTCGAATTTCGATTTTGAATGGGAAGTGACGGTTCGCCTTCTAGGGTTCTCTATAAGTAGAGACCCCCTTCCTCTCATTTTCGCACTTTGCAAATTTTTAGTTTTTCAGAGAATTTTGAGAGAACGCTCTGATACCGGCTGCTGTTGCACTCACAACCATCTTCTTTCTTCACTCATCCGGCTTCAGTCTGAGTGTTCTTTGCTCAAAACTCTCAAATACCACCTGACCATAGTCAAGTTTCTTCCCTTTGCTCTCAGGCATCTTCAAGCCACTTTGTTCAAAACCGCCTGAGTACTTTTTTCCCTAGCTTTCAATACACCCACAGCCGGTCACTACTGTCTGGGGTATCTTCAAGCCACATGTTAGAGAAATGGTTGGGTTGCTTCAACAATTCAGTTGCTCTTTGAAGAGGGTACATCAGGGCTACCGACTGGGGTATTACCAAGCAACAAATCAAATTTCCGGTTGCTGACTTCAAGGAGTCAATCGTCTTCAGATTTTACAACTTCAAGGTATCGTCTCTTCCCCTTGCAACTTTTTTGCGCTTTTTCCGGTTGTATAGCTTGTTAAAGAATAATGGACTCACCCAACACACACACGGCACGGCCTAGGACAGTTGTCAGCCGGTCACCGGACACGGCTGAGTCTAGGACTGGGGATGCCGTCTGGGGGTGTTTGGACCACCCTTACTCTTCTGCGAGTCCGACCATCTTTGTTCATGTGCAGGACAGAATGGTTCGGACGAGACGGGCGGCTGTAGACCCCGAATACCAGTCAGACGGCTCAGCCGAAGGTCTAGATGAGGATGTACCTTATGACCAGCCGGGCGTACCTAGCACGCCCGGAGGTGAGATCTTTGAGGAATCCGAGAGTATAGACGGCGAAGAGACCGTCCAACAATCAGACTCTACTAAGTCAACCATGGAACCGGATGCCCCTCAAGAGGATGAGGAGGCATATAAGTGGCCCTCTATCAACAATCCAACATAGGCGCATATGATCGCCCAGGATGTGGTCACTTTGAATGCCACCCTTCCGACATATTTGGAAAAGCGCCCGGTTGGTAAGGGATGGGAGATTGTTGTGCCGCCTGTAGAGGCATCCGTCGTTTGGGATGACGACCTTGACCACGCCAATGACTACTTTGGCTCTATGAGGTGGCATTCAAAGCTGGCCTCCGGTTCCCCCTCCACAACACAATAAAAGCCATTCTAAGGGGTTACGACCTTGGCGTTTGGCAGCTAACACCCAACTCTTGGGTGAATATACTAGGATACATCGCTGCCTACGAGATGCAGGACATAACGTCTAGCTGGGAGGCGTTTGCACATATGCACTACCTCAGTCGTGCCCTTGGTGGCTGGAATGCGTGGTATACATTGACCACCCATCCGGAATATATGATGACGCTTGATAAGCCGTCTAAGTGGAGTAGGTGGAAGAGCAAGTTTTATATGGTTTCTTCCCCCTCGCTACAACTAAACCATCGGCTGCGTCGCTATAACACCCACCTGGCTCTCTTTGGAAAGAAGTGTGCCCTTCCCAAAGTACCGGAGAAGGATTGGGATCAAATAATGGAGCCGGGTCTCTTCAAAAAGACTTTTTTACCTCTGGATGATGGGGCAAAAGTCATTGTCCCCAAACACTAGGTCCCTCATCCAGACTGGCTTAAGGACAAGGCGTTCCTTTCTCCCTCTGGCCTTAACACATTTTGGAGCAGACGTATGTTGATTGTTAACCGGCGCTTTATGTCTTCTGTATCATACTTGAATGGATATTAACCCTTTGATTTTTCTTCCTTGTAGAGAAAGGATTAGAAATGGTGCCTCTTGAAAAGACACCGGCTAAGTCTGTTGCTGAGATCCAGAAGGATCGATTAGAGAAAAAGAGGGCCCAACTAGCGGCCAAAGATGATGGGGTAAGCGCCGGCTGAGCTCTTTTACCGTTTGCATGGTTTGTAGTTAATCTTTGATAGTAA